CAAAAACATTCTTTATCTATTCGTTGCTCATGCACACAATTTTATTGTGTAGACATAATCATATTGTGTAGATATCAAGCAGCAATGAATAAATAATTTAAATACATAAATTTTTGGGTAGCTCTACCTCCTCCTTTCTAGCGGAGGGTATAATAATAAATGCGCTTTGCTGAATTTTTCAGCAAGTGTTTATCTATCATATTTGAGCGTAACTTTATTTTTTTTTAATCAAAATATAGACCAGGATTTTTATTATACTATAATGTACGAAGGGTATGGCCCTACAGCGTACGACCAAAATAAAAAAACAGGAAAATTATAATATTTTAAGACACTTTCTCTTATGTCGTTACTTTGAGAATTTCAAAGCATTTGCGTGCTTTTTTGCGAATTTCTCGAGCATTTAAAATCAAATAGGGAGAAAAACCACAGGCACTTGGGGTATGGACCTCCCCCCTTTTCCATTTTTTTCTTTTTAAATCTGGGGTCGAGTCACCTTTTTCCTATTTTTGTATTCTAATATGCACTGTTTGTTATCAATAATGTAACTCTTTTGACTCTATACGCTGTTTTTAAATATACCGTTTTCGACTGATACATAAAAAGAGAAAAGGCTTGCAACTCTTTTCTCATCGTCTGCCTCACCTCGCTTAAACTTCGCCTGATTATTTATCGAAAGAATAAGAAAACTTGGAATATGCATACATCAATAAATTCGTTATACATTCTTCTTCCTTTTCATATTTCCATTTGATTTTTATGTACCCCCGATTTGTAAATATTTCGATTAAATCACCTGAATCTAGGGTAAATTTTGTTGATGTGCACATCATATCCATGCACCAAGTTTATCTGTTTCATATTTGGATATTTTACTAGAAAAAGACCTTAATGGTAATCTAACAACACAGTTTTATGATAAACGTGATGACTTTAACTTTTCACGTCCCTTACTTATGCAGCAATATACCCTTATCACCTGCAAACGGGGTGTATATCTCTCAGTTGATTCGATACGCAAGAGCATGCTCTACGTATGAACAAATTCTAAAACGAGGTAAGTTATTGACAAACAAGTTGATGAAACAAGAATATCAACAATCTCGTTTGAAGTCATCATTCCGCAAGTTTTATGGTCGATACAATGACATTATCAGCAAAAACAATCTATCATTAAGTCATATGCTGACTGACGTTTTTCATACTAATTATTAGACCATTATATACACACTGAATTGTGGACAATTTTTTCCGTTATTTCCTGATCATGACAAGGAGCACACAGCGGGTGTGACCGCTCGGCAGGGGATGCTCACTCCTCCATGGCACCTGATCTCACCTCTGATGTTTTTGGAGGTCCGTGTTTGCTGTGCTCCCGATTTGTATTGTTTTAATGGACTTTGAGCTTGAATACTGTTCGTTATCTCCATATTTCACTGCTAAATATACAGTGGGAAAGAAGAAGCTTTTTAAAGAATTTACGCACTTTCACTATATGATCATTATAGCCCCACCCTAACACCAGAATCCTGACCCTGGGACCATGAATTTCGTAATTTTGGCAGAGGGTTTAATGCTCGTTTTAGAATTTGTTCATACGTAGAGCATGCTCTTGCGTGTCGAATCAACTGAGAGATATACACCCCGTTTGCAGGTGATAAGGGTATATTGCTGCATAAGTAAGGGAAGTGAAAAGTTAAAGTCATCACGTATATCATAAAACTTTGTTGTTAGATTACCATTAAGGACTTTTTCTAGTAAAATATCCAAATATGAAACAGATAAACTTTGTGCATGGATATGATGAGCAAGGTGTCATCCAAAATTGTGGAATTTGTGGCCCCATTGTCAGGGGTGATGGTGGTGAAGGGGGAGCTCTATTGATAATAGTTAAAATGCATTATTTCTTTGAAAACAAGCAAACAAATTAAGCGCATTGTTATAATGAGCAACTGTGTCTCTTCTCAAATTGTGAATTCCATGGCCCCGAGGTCAGGGTTCTGATGATGGGGCGGAACACTAATGATCATAAATTGAAAAGGCGTAAATTCTTCTAAAATCTTCTCTCCCCCTGTATATTTTGTAGATAAACTAGGTGCATGATGAGCAAGGATGCCTTATCCAAAATTGTGAAATAAGTTGTGGCCCCAAGGTCAAGGGTTCTGTTGGTGGTGATGATGGGGGGCTCTATTGATTATATAGTGAAGATGCTCCTGATTATTATTAAGCAAACACTCAGTGTACAGCTATGATGAATAAGCCAGCAGCACTTCCAAAATTGTGATTTTCATGGCCCCGGGGTCAGGGTAAGGCTGTTTTAATTTAACAGTGAACATGCATTATTTCTTTGAAAATCTCTGCTCCTGCATTGACTATATAGTGAAAATGCTAATGAAAAGTGATTAAACAAACAAACACACCCTTTTGCTCTTAACGAAATATGTCCAGTCCTTTGGTAACAGGCAAAAATACGAGTCATGTACTTTAATTTCGAGATCCCGAAAAATTGTTATTTTTTTAAATAATAACTAGGAAAAAAAGGTCTGCTATTTTATCTTTAGCTTTCGGGACGAAAGCAGATATTTAATCGCCTATGAAGAGAGTCAAGTTGGAGCGGAAGAGTTTCAAACATTCAAGGGAATATTGCTCAACTGCATCGCCTCATACGAAAAAGTATAAACGTGTGTTGGACGTAATTATTGTTAAATCTTATATGTACATTTCATTGCGTCGAAATATGAAAAGCTTTGATGTCAGGTTAGCTGATATCACGGAGAAAGATGAATAGAGAACCTTAATTGCGTAAAACATATTCAATTCTCGCAAGATTTCAGTTTCAATTTCAAATAGATTCCGACGAAATTGTAATTCAACTGTATTTCACTGCGCTCAGTAAAGTCCATCTCCGTTAAGTGTGCATATATAAAAAAGAGCCAAGAGCAGTACAACCATCTCTTTGATGAAACTATACTTAACAACTTTCCTTAAATCTGAGTTGGACCCAAGGTCCAACAGGTTGCATACACCTTGGACACAACATTGATTTTTCGTCAATATCTTTAAATACGAACTACTTTTAAAAACAATTTTTTCATGCATTTATATAAGTAACATGTGTTCAACAGTAATATAAAAGTGATGATAAAGCAAAGCTTCGTTATGATATTTGATCATAAACACAATGTAGCGTCAAACTTGCTCTGATCTGAAAATTATGTTGAGGTGTTTGATGAAAATAGAAAGTGAACACTGGATTCAGAGGTATCCATATACTTCTAAAATAATGCTTTCTTTCATAAGCATGTCCTTTCCGGCGAAATATATCCGTAAATTGAGAAATTTGGTAAAAAGCATACTCCGACACCCTTTCTATCACTTTGAAAGCATACATGCATACATACTAGTAGTATACTAGTACACCCCGTATGTTGGGATATACTCGGTGTATAGAAGGTTGGGATTCGTACCGTTTTAAAGAAATCTATTCGCCGAAGCTGTGTAATATTGTACACTGGGAAAGTTGACTCTCAATTGTATTCTTTACAATAAGTACTAGTTCTTTGTAATAAAAAACGTAACGTCGGACTTTCTTGTGGAACAGCGAATGGGCTTGAAGTATTGTTACAGGAACTCGACGTTTTTAAAAGCATTTCTCTTCATTGATAACAAACATTTCCTTACTATAATAATTATTATGTAATGTTTTTTTTATCAATAAAGAGAGATGTTTAAAGCGTTCAAGTGCCTGCACATTGTGTGGAACTTTGGAAAACGTCCTCAGAATCAAAAGAAATGAGCGAGGGGTCAGTGAATATTATAAAATTAAGATATTCAATGTATAATAGCCATGTTTTATATCTAATAAATGAATTTTGTGATTTTTGTAATCATGGCATCATTTTTGAAGGTGTTATCAAATAAAAAATACTACTCATAGGAATATAAAAAAAATTGATTACTGTCTAGTTAATTGCACCTTGAATTTAACATTGAAGTCTATGGGAAGAGCATAAAAAAGCAAATTGAATTTTATACAAATCTCTTGGTAAATATTTGCATAAACTCTCTTTATTAAAATATGGGAATCAGTAATCACAAGAATTTTGAAGAAATCAAAATTTTCTTATTTTTATCAAGTGCATATATTTGAGTTTATATTAATTTGGACCTCAGCAAATACATACTGCTATAATCTTTAAAAAAGCTTATCAGGCCCGTAGCAACGATTTGAAAAGTGGGGAAGGAGGCAACCTCAAAACAAATTTTACAAGATAAAAAAACAAAACTGCCCGAACTCGAACAAAAATGTTTCGAAGGGAGGGAGAGAGGGGTGACCTTCCTCTAACCTTTCGGTATTTTTCCCCAAAAGCTGGCATTTGCCATTGTTTGACCTTACAACAACAAAAAAGGGGGCAGCATTGAAAAAAAAAATATCCATAAATAAAACTACAGCAAAAGACTATACTCAGAAAAAATGAGGGGCTGCCCCTCCCCCCATCCCGCGTTCTACCGGCCTGTTTATCAGATAATTCCATGCCTCTCTAAATCGTCATGAAAAGCTTATCAATTAATTTTATTTGTCTTTCAAATACTGATCTGTCTTGAGTATTTTTTTGGACTACCCTCAAAAATACATGTGTCTGTTGAGGACAACACATACACGCGCACGTCACATATTTAGTATTTACATTCTGTCTCAAGAGATGTTCCATAGTTTGGGAAAAACAATTTATTCCTTTGAATGGAACTCTTCTGAATTTGGTAATTTTTTTTAAAGTCGTACGCACTTCGCAAAATGAAAAAGGAAATTTCTTATACAAAACATAAATGTAGGTCTTCCATCGATGTTGCTCTCCACTTTCCGTCTTAGTATATCTAGTACAAACGACTTCCGTCCTTTTGTCACGTGGTTAGGAAAGAAAGGCGGGCTAAACCAAACGAACCATATATATTTAAGTGAAGTGGTTGATAACTATTTGAAACACATCGAAATTTGACTGCGCTTCGTAGCAGCGCGGGAATTTTAATTACACGGACATGGATTCGGGATCGGAAGGCAACAGTTCTTTGAATGCGAGGTTGTCCTCCAATGGAAGCTTTAGCAATACCGAAGGTGATCTTTATCAGGAAACACTGGAACAAGCTTCAGCATATCTGTGGATATCTGTTTCTCCCATATTTCTATTTGTTGGAATATTTGGAAACATTTTGAACTTGTTTGTTTTGCGGAGAATGCGTTTTGAGAAAAATCCCACCTTAATTCTGCTTGTATTCCTAAGTGTTACAGACATGACCGTTCTTTTAGTAGGCTTGCCCAGATACTGGGCCCGGGAGGCCGTAAACTTTGACCTGCGAACAGTTTCTCAATTTAGCTGCAAGTTCAGTTTGTTTCTTATATACACCTCTATGCAGCTGTCGTCGTGGATTCTTGTGATGGTGTCAATAATTCGTATGCTCAAAACTGTGTTACCTTTACATTTTCCTAAGAATAAAATGAGAGTGACTCGAAGAAACACGCTGATCGCTTTTGCTATAGTGGTTGTTGTACTTTGTATTATTAACTTTCATCTCTTCATTACCAATGGTATATTGATAGAGGACGGGGACACCTCCTGTACTTCGCTTACACAAGACTACCTATATTTCGACGAATATGTTTTCGTTTACGTTGACTTTCTCGTTCTTTCAGTTTTTCCCGCAATCATTATCATAATTTGCAATATTTTAATTTATTTTGTTTTGAAAAATTTGAAACAGAGACGCGCATCTGCATCTTCCATGGACAAAACTACAACAGATTCTGTCTCCAGAGTTACACGTATGCTTTTCGTCACGAGTACATACTTTGTTATAGCAACAGCTCCAATATCTGTTCATTTCATTGTTGATTCTTATGTTCGACCTAATGCAGATGGATTGACAGAAGCAAAATTGGACTTATCTTTCACAGTACTTTATTTGTTCGAGTTTTCTCATTTCGTCATCAATTTCTACTGTTACACAGTCACCAATAAAAGATTTAGAAAAACCTTGCACAAGCTGAAGGACGATATGAGAAACAGGTATGCATGTATGGCGGTTACAAGCCTCTCTCTCTCTCTCTCTATATGTATATCTTTAAAAAAAATAATCAAAAGTGACACTCCAGGAAACACATTGACTTTTGAGATACTTTGTAGATAATATAACACATTGTACCTTTACATAGTAATTCGGTATCTGTTCGTGTCAGGGACTTTATGTCATTTCTGAAGTACTCTTATCTAATTTATATTTTTGGTGCATTTTCTCACAGTTTGACTCTTAAAAGTACTTAAATAGTTCCCTTTTTAGTATATTTTTAAAAAGTAGAAAAATTAAGTAATAGTTTTGAATGAAACGCATCAATGAATTTGGATACTATTTATATACGTGAATGTTGTTATTATTATTCTGAAACTAAATTGAATTTTATGTTTTTTCAGAATTTTCCGTCAGAGCCGTGTACCATCTGACTCGTACGATGTGAACAGCACCGTGGATTCAAATAAAAAGTGTTCAGGCAGTGCAGTATCTAAATCAACGTAGTCTACATTCCAGACTTTTCCCGCCAATAGCTGAAACGGGAAGTCTATCTACTTTGAAACCGGAGGGACTCTTAACTCGCGAAGAATTTGACAACGGAATTTTTTTTAGGTTCAGTCCAAAATGTTCCTCGGAATTTTGAAATACATGTAATTGGAAGACAATCTAATCAGTAACAAAATTCATTTTACAGAGGCATTCTTCATTAATTATTATTGTTTCTTTATGTTTATATAGTGTGAATCTATGATTGGCACTCTAAATATTTTAAAATATCCATAGGCTTTTTCAATTTGGATAGGGGAAATATAATTTGAACCGTGAAATCTTTCTTCAAAGGATAGGTAATAATTACTTTCAATGCATACAAATACAAATGCATAGTTGACAATTTTCTATGACATGCAAAATTTGATTCATGCAATTTAGTTTTTTTTGGGGGGGTGGGGGGGGTGGGGGGTGGGGGTAAATCGACTTATGTCTAGAGTCTTAAGTTCACACAAGAATCTTAGGTATACCTATTTAAAGCAGCTTTAAGGGTGTTATCTTAAGATTGCACAAGTTCCTTGTTGTAATATTACCCTTGTAAATCAGAGATTTGGAACAAAGAAGGGGTAACAGGACACAAAGCCACAACCCGGAAACATCCGGGATCGGTTTCCTCTAGTATTCATTATAAAGGGAACAAGCAAGGTCAATTCAAAGTACATGTACATGGCTAAGTCTTTATAACATGCCGAGTTTTACAATATGTCTCAGATCTTTGTTAATTTAAAACTGAAGCCACAAAGTGTTCATCAACTTTCAAAAATAAAATTAACTTTTTCGCATTACTTGTAAATGGCTTTTATTTATGTAATATGTTACTAGCGCTCATTGTTTTTTTTTTTCTGTTTTTTGATTTTAATAAATAAATTTGCATATGATATTGTGTTACAATTCTTACGTGCTCCCAATTTTACGTAATTTTTATTGGACTATGAGATTGTTCAATGTCCATTATCTTCACATTTTCATTCATACGAAATAAAAATTACCTGGTTACAACGTTTAATAAGAACCCCCTATAAACACTGCATATTAAAGATTCGTGATTCTGTGGTATGCTTATGCAATTAGAGTGAACTGTCCTTATCTCTAAAGAGATAAATTGACATCTTCAGTATTACTCAATTTGCAGTATTTTTGTTGCAGTACAGTCAAATAAGGGTAATGCAGTAGTGTATGAATAAAATTTGGTATTGGAAGAAGTTGGAACCTACCCCCCCCCCCCCTTCCCCCCAAAATAGGATTTCGAAGTTTGGACATTTTTCCTTTCTTTTTGCTTGTCAAGTTTTTTTTTTCCAGGTAGGTTGTTGAAATTTTTTTCTCTGGCTGCCTACTTTCAAAAACGATGCTACGTCCCTGATTTGTAATCAATTCACACGCCCAAGGGCCAAGATATTATTCCATGCATTTAACAATCAGCAGCGATTTCTATTTATGAATACTTTATTGTACTTGAACATTTCTCCTGAGGATAAACGGCTTCTTCATTTTGTTGAAAATGAAATAAATAAACTCAATTTTTACACTTTCCGCCGGTTTTAAATGTTCTCAATGTCAAAAAAATATTTCTCACAGGTGTCTAGAGGATCCTTAAGATAAGATTTGATACAATTTGAAGAAATTACATTGTAAATCTGAACTAACATTGTAATAAACCTGGTATGGTGTTATTCAAGGAGAGTCTGAGACGTTATGAATTTGTACAACAAAGTAAACATACATGTACATCTATATTTAAAGAGCCTGGGTAACCCGGCCCTGGATGGTCAACTTTCAAAACAGATCTACCTAAAAATAAGACACAAATACTTTTCTACCAATAATCCATCATTAAGTGAGGGGAAAGAGCATATATTCCAGCATATTTAATGCAATATCCTATATTTTATACAGAGCCCTTCTTTTTCAGGAGGTATAAATAGTCTGAAAATGACCATGACCACTGAAAATATAACACAAACAGATTCTTCATCGTCTGAAATTCAAATATCTTTGCTGAAATAGGTACCTCTTTCACTAAAGAAGTGATATCTGTTTAGTTAATCAACTTTATGTTTGGGGAAGCCACGTAATTTGGTGAAAAGTGGGGAAATATAAATATCAATATAAATTTTGAAATTTTTTTAGAAACATTTGAAGTTTTGTTACTGTAAAGATTCTGGGAACATTTTGAAGAGTATATTTTTACATTTTACATGAAACATTGAAGAAATAGCAATGTAATTCTTATATGTGGGAGATAAGAAAGTTTGTTTGTGGTATGTATCTTTAATGCAATTACCTATATGATTTCAGAAAGATCCCTCACTGCTCAATGGCCGTAAGTGCCGAGTATAGGACAAAATTTGCAGCTCTCCACCGGCAAGTGGTGGCGTCTCCATATGAGTGAAAAATTCTCGAGAGGGACGTTAAACAAAATACAATCAATCAATCAATCAATCATTCATTATTTCTTAAGTGATAAAGGCAAAGTAGGCACCATCATTACTAACAGCTGTTATATCATGGTTACGAATTCGATGTCAGTGAGACAAGACTCAATATAGCTATACAAGATGTTGATTGTACGACCCATATTTGATTTTTAGCAATCCAATTTTGACTATGTACATATTGACTAGCCTCTGTGTACTTAAAATATACCCATTCGTACAACTGTAATTTATATCAAATTTCGGGGTTTACGGACTTTCATCATTTGTTCAACAGTTGCAACCGAAAGAAGTTAAAAGATGATTTTTTTTCTTTAAAAATTCCTTTTAAAAGATATCCATAAATAATCACAACCTAAGTACAAAACAATTAAATAAGATGATGATATGAGTAGCGACAAGAGGTTCACTTTGAATCTTGTGATCACGTTTCATCAAGTGCCACTTGTGTCACATTATTTACCCATGTGTTTTTGTCCATAATAGTTTTATAACATAAATATAATGCGGAAATATAGCACTGAAGATTTGTCTATTCAGAAATAACTTTTTTTTGGTCAATATAAACTGCAACTAAAAGATAGTACTTCGTGGTACTGTGCTTCGTGGTACTTTACATGCATATGACCGTCTTGCTTTTTGACTTGCACTTTATTATTTTCACAATGTACGTGCAGGTTCTGAGATACACATAAATTCGATATTGAATTCTGTTCTACTGTACATTTATTCGAGTCCTTTGCCCATGCTTTGCTGTATAGGTCAACCAAAAGCGTTATGTCCTTTACAAATATTTTGATATTTCTTATACAATTTGTACATAACTTTAAATTCTGCAAGAGAAATGTCAAAACTAATTGTAAAGGACAGTAACCACAGACCAACCTCAGGTTTCTGGAAAAGAGGCTACAGGTCTAGGATGAATACCCCTTCCTCTTTTCCCCAAATTATTTTATAATTGGCTGCCATTTTAATGGGTTCTGGTGCATTTTTGAAGTCATTTTTTCCAAATCTATTAACATAATGAATTTATTTCATTAAAAAAATATTTTCGTGTGTTTTATAAAAAGAGGGGGTGTTACCAATATGCGTTTATATAAAACAAATTGTATCGATTGTGCAGGTACTGAGTAACATACCTTCCAATGTGTTCGAATGGTGTCACAGGCGACTTCTCCAGGATACTAGTAGCAAGACTTCTTGAAATTACAGGAAGCGGGTATGAAAAAATTAAAGTTTGTATCATACAAGACAACTACCATGTAATCAGAGATATTTTATTACTTTAATGTCACAATCACTAACATGAAAATAAGAAAATTTTGTTCAATAAAACTTCGGGCTTTGCATGAATGAACCTTTAACCGAAAAAACGATCCTTGAACAATTACATATCAATTTGTTTAGACAGCTGTTGGATCATATCTGTGACCTTCATCGAGACCGATCACATGAAATAAATTTGACTGAGAAAGTTAAGTAAGAAAGTATTATATTAAATGCAGCTTGTCGTGTACATGTTGGCGCCAATAAAATGCGATGCGTTACTTAGTGTAATCCCTGGCTATATTTACAACAAGAGACCCATAGGCATAATTCAATTATGTATTTTATTGTTCAGTTTAATTAAACCTTTTGGAAAAAACGTTCAAGACATTACTTCATATATTTGTGCTCACCCATTGTTTCACATAGATACAAGTAAAATTGATAAATAAAATTAAGGATTTTTTTTTGTTGTTGAAAAAAGGTACTTACACAAGTAGGCGTCCAAGATATTTTAGACTGTCTTCAATATAGAATTTAAAAAAAAAAAAAAAAAAAAAAAAAAAAAAAAAAGCAAGATAAATAGAAATGGCACGTGCTTTCAGTGTTTGTTAATCAAATAATTGATTCATCGATATGAAATCAGAATTAAATGATAAGAATGTATTTTCATATGACAAAAAAGGATAAACTTTCCACGTGCTGATACCCTGGTTCTTTGTCATGTGATGATGCCAATGATTTCTGCAGACTATGCTGCACGTGGCGGTGATAACACAATAAATGCGAAGTTAAGAAAAATACATCGTTGTGTCATTCGCAGCTGTAGCATATTAGAAACATTTTACTAATTTTACCAACTTTTCAATTTTTATTCCTCACTTTTGTCACTGAAATATTGGTTTCCTAAAAATATAAAGATTTGAGTTTATGTCTTACACCCATTCGGGAATATTTTTTGTACACTCTTTTATAAAATCATAAATTAAAAAAAAGTTATCTGATGGGAAAATAAGAATAAGATTGACATATATAACAGCAGATAAAGCAAGTTTTTAAAATATTTGACTCCTATTTTTTATACATCTTATCAATTAAGAATTATTTACCTCGAACTAATAAAAAATTAACTTCTCATTACCCTATGTGCACTTTTTTTTTTTACCACTTGTCATATTGTAATTTTTGTATTTACTACTACCACCCGGTAAATTCAAAAATTACAATATGACACACAGCCAAAAATAGATCTGCTGCTGAGGCCATGATGCGATGATAAGACTATTCCGCATTATATCTTCTCGATATTATAGTTTTGAATTAGCTGTTTGAGAGTTTCTACTATTTGCGTGAGAGTTTCTGTCTGAGAGATTCTAACACCGATGCAGAACAAGAGACCCATCGGTCACTTTAGTCATATTTTATTTCCTAGTATATGAATATATGTGCAGATTTAATGGAACCCATTATTAAAATAAAACAAATTTCAACAATTTAAGATTTTAGGGAAAATCACTTGAATACTACAAGTACATTACTGGAGATTTTACACTGCCTAACTCTGGTCCAGAATTCTGGTCTTCTTTCCAGAAGACGATTTTTTCACATACACTCTACCTCTAGGAGGCCATTAATTGAACAGACTTGAATCAATATTGCATTTAGATGCTTG